TCTATAGTCTAGTCTATAGTCTAGTCTATAGTCTAGTCTATAGTCTAGTCTATAGTCTAGTCTATAGTCTAGTCTATAGTCTAGACTATAGTCTAGTCTATAGTCTAGTCTATAGTCTAGTCTATAGTCTACTCTATAGTCTACTCTATAGTCTTGTCTATATAATCTAGTCTAGTCTATAGTCTAGTCTATAGTCTAGTCTATAGTCTAGTCTATAGTCTAGTCTATAGTATAGTCTATAGTCTAGTCTATAGTCTAGTCTATAGTCTAGTCTATAGTCTAGTCTATAGTCTAGTCTATAGTCTAGTCTATAGTCTAGTCTATAGTTGAGTCTATAGTCGAGTCTATAGTCTAGTCTACTAGACTACAGACTAGACTATAGACTAGACTATAGACTAGACTAGACTATAGACTAGACTATAGACTAGACTATAGACTAGACTATAGACTAGACTATAGACTAGACTATAGACTAGACTATAGACTAGACTATAGACTAGACTATAGACTAGACTATAGACTAGACTATAGACTAGACTATAGACTAGACTATAGACTAGACTATAGACTAGACTATAGACTAGACTATAGACTAGACTATAGACTAGACTATAGACCAGACTATAGACTAGACTATAGACCAGACTATAGACTAGACTAGATATCGCAATTGTGATATTATCAAAAAAATTTCTAGAAAATTACTTCAATTACGCCGCATCCATATTCAAATGTTTGAAATGAAAATAAGACAAATTTAACACAATTGCATTTCTCAACAGGTTGTGAAATTTACAAAAAAAAAAAAACTAAAACAAACATTTGTTGTACCTATCTATAGTTTGTAGTTTTTTTATTGTTGTTTCGTTATGTTAATTTAGGGCCTACCACAACAACAATATTTGTTGGTTGTTATAGTTTTTTAACACAATCCAAACAGCAACAAAAAAACAAAATCCCATTGTGATTTCTTCTCTTCCGCTGTGAATATTTAGTTGAATTAGCATTGGATATTGTGGTTTGTAGCCGTTACAAAATTTATAACAAAATAAAGACGAAAAAATAAAAGAAAATAAGACTGACCTTCAAAAATGTTAAAAAGTGTGAGTGATGTGATTGGCGGGGTTATATGTATAAATATTTTTTGTACATATGTAATTTAAATAACCATAAAAATGTTGTAGACATACAATAAAAATATAGTACAGTGAGAGGTAAAATAATATAAATTTATGAATTTGCAAACTGTTTTATTAGTGATATTGAAAATATTCATAAGTAAATAAGAAAATTAGTTGATCATTATTAAAAAGTTATTTCCTTATTTCCCTTCAAGTGGCTTCTAAATACATACATATGTATAGGCTTATTTGAACATATTATTATTATTTTGTTAGACACTGTATGTAGCATTTCGGTATATTGTATGATTAACTAATGAAATGTTTGAAGTAAAATACACATAAAATATATACATACATATATAATTTTTTGTTTGTGGGTTCAGAAAAGATTATACATATTATTACTTAGAAAAAATAAAGTAACATTTCAAAAAACACATGTTTTTTTTTGCTACACTCGGACAAGAAGCGTCTATGCTTCCCATTACTGTGGCAAAACGATAGAAGTATATAGTTCAATCAATAGTCTAGTCTACAGTCTAGTCTATAGTCTAGTATATAGTCTAGTCTATAGTCTAGTCTATAGTCTAATCTATAGTCTAGTCTATAGTCTAGTCTACAGTCTAGTCTATAGTCTAGTCTATAGTCTAGTCTATAGTCTAGTCTATAGGCTAGTCTTTAGTCTAGTCTATAGTCTAGTCTAGTCTAGTCTAGTCTATAGTCTAGTCTATAGTCTAGTCTATAGTCTAGTCTATAGTCTAGTCTATAATCTAGTCTATAGTCTAGTCTATAGTCTAGTCTATAGTCTAGTCTATAGTATAGTCTATAGTCTAGTCTATAGTCTAGTCTATAGTCTAGTCTATAGTCTTGTCTATAGTCTAGTCTATAGTCTAGTCTATAGTCTAGTCTATAGTCTAGTCTATAGTCTAGTCTATAGTCTAGTCTATAGTCTAGTCTATAGTCTAGTCTATAGTCTAGTCTATAGTCTAGTCTATAGTCTAGTCTAGTCTATAGTCTAGTCTAGTCTATAGTCTAGTCTATAGTCTAGCCTATAGTCTAGTCTATAGTCTAGTCTATAGTCTAGACTATAGGCTAGTCTATAGTCTAGTCTACAGTCTAGTCTATAGTCTAGTCTACAGTCTAGTCTATAGTCTAGTCTACAGTCTAGTCTATAGTCTAGTCTATAGTCTAGTATATAGTCTAGTCTATAGTCTAGTCTATAGTCTAATCTATAGTCTAGTCTATAGTCTAGTCTACAGTCTAGTCTATAGTCTAGTCTATAGTCTAGTCTATAGTCTAGTCTATAGGCTAGTCTTTAGTCTAGTCTATAGTCTAGTCTATAGTCTAGTCTATAGTCTAGTCTATAGTCTAGTCTATAGTCTAGTCTATAGTCTAGTCTATAGTCTAGTCTATAGTCTAGTCTATAGTCTAGTCTATAGTCTAGTCTATAGTCTAGTCTATAGTCTAGTCTATAGTCTAATCTATAGTCTAGCCTATAGTCTAAATATGTAGTTTAGTATATAGTCTAGTATATAGTCTAGTCTATAGTCTAGTCTATAGTCTAGTCTATAGTCTAGTCTATAGTCTAGTCTATAGTCTAGTCTATAGTCTAGTCTATAGTATAGTCTATAGTCTAGTCTAGTCTATAGTCTAGTCTATAGTCTTGTCTATAGTCTTGTCTATAGTCTAGTCTATAGTCTAGTCTATAGTCTAGTCTATAGTCTAGTCTATAGTCTAGTCTAGTCTATAGTCTAGTCTATAGTCTAGTCTATAGTCTAGTCTATAGTCTAGTCTAGTCTAGTCTAGTCTATAGTCTAGTCTATAGTCTAGTCTATAGTCTAGTCTAGTCTAGTCTATAGTCTAGCCTATAGTCTAGTCTATAGTCTAGCCTATAGTCTAGTCTATAGTCTAGTCTATAGTCTAGTCTATAGTCTAGACTATAGGCTAGTCTATAGTCTAGTCTACAGTCTAGTCTATAGTCTAGTCTACAGTCTAGTCTATAGTCTAGTCTACAGTCTAGTCTATAGTCTAGTCTATAGTCTAGTCTATAGTCTAGTCTATAGTCTAGTCTATAGTCTAGTCTATAGTCTAGTCTATAGTCTAGTCTATAGTCTAGTCTATAGTCTAGTCTATAGTCTAGTCTATAGTCTAGTCTATAATCTAGTCTATAGTCTAGTCTAGTCTAGTCTATAGTCTAGTCTATAGTCTAGTCTATAGTCTAGTCTATAGTCTAGTCTATAGTCTAGTCTATAGTCTAGTCTATAGTCTAGTCTATAGTCTAGTCTATAGTCTAGTCTATAGTCTAGTCTATAGTCTAGTCTATAGTCTAGTCTATAGTCTAGTCTATAGTCTAGTCTATAGTCTAGTCTATAGTCTAGTCTAGTCTAGTCTAGTCTAGTCTATAGTCTAGTCTAGTCTAGTCTATAGTCTAGTCTAGTCTAGTCTAGTCTAGTCTATAGTCTAGTCTAGTCTATAGTCTAGTATAGTCTATAGTCTAGTCTATAGTCTAGTCTATAGTCTAGTCTATAGTCTAGTATAGTCTATAGTCTAGTCTATAGTCTAGTCTATAGTCTAGTATAGTCTATAGTCTAGTCTATAGTCTAGTCTATAGTCTAGTCTATAGTCTAGTCTATAGTCTAGTCTATAGTCTAGTCTATAGTCTAGTCTATAGTCTAGTCTATAGTCTAGTCTATAGTCTAGTCTATAGTCTAGTCTATAGTCTAGTCTATAGTCTAGTCTATAGTCTAGTCTATAGTCTATAGTCTAGTCTATAGTCTAGTCTATTGTCTAGTCTAGTCTATAATCTAGTCTATAGTCTAGTCTATAGTCTAGTCAATAGTCTAGTCTATAGTCTAGTCTATAGTCTAGTCTAGTCTATAGTCTAGTCTATAGTCTAGTCTATAGTCTAGTCTATAGTCTAGTCTAGTCTATAGTTTAGTCTAGTCTATAGTCTAGTCTAGTCTATAGTCTAGTCTAGTCTATAGTCTAGTCTAGTCTAGTCTATAGTCTAGTCTAGTCTATAGTCTAGTCTAGTCTATAGTCTAGTCTAGTCTATAGTCTAGTCTAGTCTATAGTCTAGTCTATAGTCTAGTCTATAGTCTAGTCTATAGTCTAGTCTATAGTCTAGTCTATAGTCTAGTCTATAGTCTAGTCTATAGTCTAGTCTATACTCTAGTCTATAGTATTGTCTAAAGTATAGTTTATAATCTAGTCTAAAGTCTAATCTGTAGTCTAGTCTATAGTCTAGTCTATAGTCTAGTCTGTAGTCTAGTCTGTAGTCTAGTCTGTAGTCTAGTCTGTAGTCTAGTCTGTAGTCTAGTCTATAGTCTAGTATAGTCTATTTTCCAGTCTATAGTCTATTCTATACGCTTGTCTACATTTTAATGTATAGTTTAGTCAATAGTCTAATCTTTTGTGAAGTCAAAAGTTTACAATATACCTCTAGTTTAAATTTAGGCTATAGTCATTTCTAGTCTATAGAGTAATTTATAGTCTTGACTATAAACTTATCTACAGTTTGCTCTATTAGTCTAGTCTATAGCCTAAACAATAATCTAGTCCATAGTCTGGCCAATTATCCTGTCAAACCAGCGTCACAAACATTAGGTTAAATTCATTATACCCAACCACTAAAGAGATGTAGGATGTAGAAACATCTAACGTCTACCTGTACCTAAGTTTGTACAATACAGGTTTTTTCCTATTGACTTGTTTTCTTCATTTAGAAAGGGAAACCTAAGTGTAGTAACAAGAGCAGAAATACACAGCAAATACATACAAGCAAAAACGGTGTTTTATCTATTTACGTTTGTTTTAGTTTTTCTTTAAACATTATACCTAAAATTACATTACTATATTCTAGCATTATATACTTACCATTACAATATTGAGCTGAAAAATCATCATCGAAACGGCAACGTTTGGCTGAAACCTCATAGTTGTGGTAGTTTTTGTTAGTGGCTGTACAATTAGCGGCGTTGTTAGCAGCAGCAGCAGCCGCATCATCATCATCATTCATAACGAAGAAACGTTTTTTACAACGTGCTACTGGGGCAGCATGACCGGCTGCGTAAGCAGAGCTGCCAAAGTTAACTGACGAAGCATGTGTTTGTTGTAGTAGTTGTTGTGTATTATTCATGCCATTGACATCATTTGCCATAAAATTATATGTTGTACTATTGTTATTATTATTGTTGTGGTTAATGTTGCTAGTATTGTTATTATTGTTGTTGTTGTTATTATCATTATCATGTACTGAATTTATGTAGGAGAATCCATAGTAACCATTGGAGGATAAATGATTTGAATTCGAGTTTAATTGTGTTACAGCACGTGGATCAAAAGGATTTAAATGACGATTATGATGAAGTTGACTGGATTCCACAAAATCCAAAGGCAAGTTTGAGCCATTGGTAACACCATCAGCAGCCCATAATTCAAAATTTGTTAAAACCATATTGTAATTTGTGTAATTTATTTATATATTTTATAATTTATTGGTTGATTGTTGTTGGTTTTTTTTCTATTGGTAAATTAGGTAGTTTTGGTTGTTGCTTAACTTTTAGTTGTTATTGCTTATTGTTAGCGCGATGAAGTAGTTGTTGCCTGTTGTTGTTTATAGACTGTACTTGTTTATTGTTCTTTTATAAAGTTTGTTTATTACAAAATTTCTGCCAAAAAAATATGGAATTTTTGTTTAATAAGTTGAATACACTTTAAAATTTTAAACGAAAAATTAAAACGTGTGTAATTTTTATTTCTTTGTTCTATTGCTTTACTTTTTTTTGTGCTAACACCCCCTCTTGTTATTCCTTTCACCTACAAAACAACAACAAATTAAACAGAAAACTTTTTGCACAAACCGTAGAACACACACACATCGAACATTTACACTTAATCCTCTCTACACTCTTACAACTTCCCTCTCATTCAAAAAGCACTAAAAAAAACACAAAAAGCAATGTACCGTTTTTATGTTTATTATAATTGTTGTTGTTTTTTCCTTTTTTTTTGTTCTGTCGTTATTGTTGTTGCTAATTAAGAAACAAAATTTCAATTGGGAATATTTCTCTGGTGTGAAGCACCTTAATTAATTTCTGTTTCTTTTTAAACACACAGCAAAAAAAAACACGCTTTATATTTTCGTTTAAAATTAAAGTGACGTTAGCTTTTAAAAATAAATTGTTTCGTATTTCTTAAATTTAGTCGCGGCAGCCGCAGTCTCTGTTACTTTTAGAAAAAATCGAATTTATTTACTTTTATCTCCCTTTTTATGTGTATTTCAAAACGTTGCTCTGTAAAAACCGCGTTCCTGTTTCGTTATTGGTTTTTGTTTTGCTTCTTCCTTCGCCTCTTGTTGTTTATATGTTTCACTGTTACTTTATTTTTCTCACTTATTGCTTTTTTCTATTTTATTCCAATTTGCACAACCACACGCGTTCACGTTCGTCAAACAACTGATTGAAAACGTTGGCAGCAGAACACGCGAAAGTGACATCTAACGCCGGTAATGGAAAATTTTCAACGCAAACGAATTGCAAACACAAAACACAAAGAAACGTTAAGTACGGAACAAAATGGTATATTTATAAATTTATCTCAAAAAACACATTTTTTCTTATATAAATTTATTGAAAATTTTGAATTTTTTTATAATATTTAGAATGTAAGTACATTTATTTAAATTTATATTAAAGTTGTATTTACATTTTATTTTGCAAAATATAAAGAAACAGTATGGAATTGAAATCTAGTTATGGCGTCATACTGGAGTTAAAAACTTTTTAAAAATCAAAATTATATTAAAAAAAAACAATGTAAAACTATGAAAATTATTCTACATACATATTTACATTTTTTTAAATTTATTTTCATTTTTTGGAATTGAACTGCATAAATATATAGTTTATAGCAACCATATTACCATTAAAGTTACTGCATTACCCTAAACAGTACCAGACTGCAACCATTCATTATAAAAAACACCTAATACTGGCAACGCTAAACGTTTCTCATGTCAGACACCGCCTTATCCCTTTTATATGCCGCATTTAATTCTCATTGAAACGCCCTGTCATTAAAATAAAAAGAAAATACAAAAACAGCTGACCTCACAATAAAAAAATCAAAGAAAATTCCACAAAAATTAGTAGCTACTCGTCAATGTGGTGTTAAAAATTTTGTGCAAATTTTCTAAAACAACCTAAAGGAAATTCCATTAAATTCCATTAGCATGTCTGCAGACAAAGAATTACCAAAAATTAAATACGCCGAACAAGCACCAAAACTTGATAAAGCCCAGCTGGAATTTATGAAATTGATCGAACAACAAAACTTGGAAAGAGTTACAAAATTGCAACGCGTTAAACGTAATAATCTAATAACGGCCGGTGTTTTGGTTAGCTCGGTGTTGGGCATATATGCCTATTCCATATTGTCTGTGAAACAAGAGAAATTCTTGGATGACTTTGATGAGCCTGCAAAAGTCAACAATTAAAAGGGAAATTATACTATTTTCACACTATATTTAAGATTTGTTAAGATTAAAAACGAACAAAATTGTTGTATAATAAGCTTTAGATAAACAAAACCCAAAGGATTTTAGAGGATTGATATAAAACGCAAATAACCGAAATTGAGGTTAGTTTTAATAAAATTCCCTAAAAATGTTTTTTAAACCTTTTTTATTTGTAGTAAAATGTCCGAGGCAGCTGTACGTGTTCTTAAGTCTGGCATGCGTTTGCCCCCTTTACCTACTTTAAGAGATCTGGTGAAATTATATAAATTACAAGCCTTAAAACAATTATCACAAAATTTCTTAATGGATGAGCGCATAACAGATAAAATTGTTAAAAGTGCCGGGCGCATAGATCCGCGTGATACAGTTTTAGAAGTTGGCCCCGGCCCTGGCGGCATAACACGTTCTATATTAAGAAGACAACCTCAACGTTTAGTGCTAGTAGAGAAAGATGCTCGCTTTTTGCCCACTTTAGAACTCTTACGCGATTGTGCTAAACCTTTAAATTTACAAGTTGATATATTTGTTGATGATATTTTACGTTTTGATATTGAACAGCATCTGCCCGACACATCACATCGTTTACATTTAATAGGCAATTTACCATTTGCCATCTCCACTAGATTGCTTATCAATTGGTTTGAGGATTTGTCGTTAAGGCGCAAAGCTTTTCGTCGCAATGACACCTGCATGACTTTAACTTTTCAGAAAGAGGTGGCTGATCGTATTTGTGCTCCTTTGGGGCACGAACAAAGATGTCGTCTTTCTATAATGTCACAAATTTGGACACAACCTATACTCAAATTTACCATACCGGGTAAAGCGTTTGTGCCCAAACCAGAAGTCGATGTGGGTGTGGTAAAACTAGTGCCTCTCAAACAGCCCAAAACTGATTTGCCCTTTGCTTTGGTGGAAAAGGTAGTAAGACATATTTTTAATATGCGCCAAAAATACTGTCGTCGCGGTTATGGCACCCTTTTTCCTCCCGAGCAACGTGATGAAATGTGTTTTGAAATGTTCAAACAGGCAGATGTGGAAGATACACTAAGACCTTTCCAACTCTCCGTAGATGAGTGCATACGTTTGGCCACTGTTTATAAAGAATGTATTGATAAAAATCCCGATATAGCTGCTTATGATTTTCGTGCCCCTAAAAATCTTTCCCAAGAAATTAATGCTTAAGGTGAACTGTTATTATGGCAACAATTTATTCGTTTTGTTTTAATTTTTTTTTGTTTAATAAAATATAATCTTTATTTGTATAAAACTGTGTATAAAGTGTAAAAGTTACAATAATTATTAATGGAATGTTAAATTTACTATTAATATGTGAGAAAATAGAGAAAGAAGGAAACAAGACAATCATTTAGGGGGTTTTCGCATATTTCGATTTGGAAAATTTTTTAATTCGAATCGAGCTGCCGAAATATCCCCGGGTAAGAAGAAATAAAAAGAAAAAACGTTTTAGATCCGCTTAAAACAAATTGAATTTGTTTTGTAAACTTTATGACTTATTTCGTAAAAGAGATTCGATAAGACTTTTTAAATTAAAATGAATATTTTTTTGTTTTCCTAATATATTACTGTGATATGTAGTTATATTGTCCTACTTCATTTTTCTTTAGTTATTGGACGGATATGTTTCATTATAATCTCTTAAAACTAAAATTGTAAATTAAACAGTTAATACAAAATCTGCGCATGTGGTCAAAAAGGCACTGGAATAACGAATTTTTTAAAGAATATTGTGATATGTATTTATATTGTCTTACTTCCTTTTCTTAATTTTTCTTTAATTATTGGACGGATATGTTTCGTTATAATTTCTTAAAACTAAAATTTGTAAATTTTGTAACTTTTGATACAAAATGTGTGTTTGTGGTCAAAAAGGCACTAGAATCACAAAATTTGTTATTGCGAACTCTATAATTAATAATGTTTGAATGAGTAGCTCTGTTTTTAGATATTGTATGGATAAATTAGTTGAAAATAATGACGTTTTTTTCCATTCTGGAAAGAACTATTCGCACAAACAAACTCTTTTCTTCTCTAGTCATTTCGTTCAACACTAAAATCTAAATAATAACTTATTTAGAACTAACAATACTATACTTATCACGCCAAAACCAAAGATAGCTCGGGACTTCAACAACGATTCGGCGCCATTGCAGCGATGATCCAAGAAACAAAAACAAAATTCAACATCACTGAAATAATCACGTTTTACATCATGTTCCTTAATGGTATGATTGACATAATTGGCCAAATGTACATCTTTGGCAGCGGGACGACAACCTTCATATTTGTCCGCCGGAATATCAGTTCTAAAACTTAGCGAACTTAAGCAATCACGTATAATAGTTCTTTGGGCTGTAAAGTCATAAAAAAAAGGAGATTAACTTAATAGAACGGAAAATATCTTTCAAAAGTTCACTGACAGCCTCTTTTTTCCGTAATTTTAACACAAATATCTTCACTTTCTGGACATTTTTCACCCAAAAATCCTATACCGCGCCAATTAAAGTCCTCAGTACAGCCAGGAGTGGCTGAGGTACAGCGATAACACCATATAGCCAATCCTATGATTAATAAGCCAAAAGAATTGTAATTATCATTAATAATTAT